GACTACGAAATGTGGACGCTCGTTTTAATGCAACACAACAACGCCGTTCGATAAACTCATAATTCTCTGTATTAAACTTGGAATTTTCATATGATGAACCTTCAGTAATGTATATATTGGCTTGCCACTTCTTTAATATTCACTCGATGGTTATTCAGAATCAGAGTACGTACGTTTTCAATGTTAGTAGCAATAGATAAATGCACGAGGTTTTGAACGGTTTAATCCTCTGATAAGCACTTTGACGAGGTCAAATATTGCGCCCGAATAATGCTGAAAATCGTCCATGCATTTTAACTTCTAGCACACAAAAAAACGAATTAAGAAAAGCCTATCCTTTTCTGGCGCAAACGAAGAATGTCACAAGCGTGCAAGCGAAATTTAGGTGACACCAGTAATACTTGCCACAAGCAATGTGAACTGTGTCATCCTACGACACGCAAATGCATTATAACGACTTGGCCGACGACACGTACAGTTCTCTATGCGTGAAGTGTGCGCGTATGTCTTTAATTTCACTGATAAACCCATATCAGCTGCACGCGCACACAGCTACACAGTCATTTTCAGTTGATTAAAACAAGAGTCCAGATACTTATTGACTCACCCTCGTAATTTGCAATAAAATAATGATCGTTTTACAGAACCGTTTCTACAGATAATACGCGAACATATGTGGTATGTTGTAAAACCACCAGTTAGATAAGAGGTGGGAAAGAATGTAGTTATGTTGTAAAATGTCCTGTTTATTACGAAAAAGGGTAGTTTAGCTGCAGGAGAATATTGAAGTATCGATTGGTCCCTGCGATCGTGATGAAATCACGAAGGCAGCTTCTCTTCGCCCGAGTGATACTGCAGCCAATTTGTACAGTTAAAAACACATAAGAGAATTCATAAATAGATAGATAGATAGATAGATAGATAGATAGATAGATAGATAGATAGATAGATGGAGTTAGATATTTTCTGGTCATGCCAACAGCTTTGCTCATTAGTCCCGTTAATCCAGTGAATGTTTTGCCACGAGAGGTGCTGCCCCCTCTTTATCGGGTCAAGATCCAGACTTCCTATTGGTCTTCGTGCATGGAAGTGTTCATGTGTGTGTGTGTGTGTGTGTGTGTGTGTGTGTGTGAAGGGAGAGGACAATGAAGAGGAAGAAAAGATTGCCCGCATGGTCCGATATTTAGGTACACTTC